CCGCTGAGCAGGGAGCCCGATGCGGGGCTCGATCCCAGGACCCTAGGATCACGACCTGAGCCGAAGGCAGACGCTTAACGACTGAGCCACCCAGGCGCCCCTTTTTTATTTTTTTAAAGATTTTATTTATTTATTTGACAGAGAGAGAGAGAGCACAAGCAAAGGGAGCTGCAGGCAGACGGAAAGGGAGAAGCAGGCTCCTCGCTGAGCAGGGAGCCTGATGCGGGACTTGATCCCAGGACGTTGGGATCATGACCTGAGCTGAAGGCAGACGCTCAACCGACTGAGCCACCCAGGCGTCCCTAAAATCTCTTTTTAAAAAAAGGAACCTGGGCGCCTGGGTGGCTCAGTTGGTTAAGCGACTGCCTTCGGCTCAGGTCATGATCCTGGAGTCCTAGGATCGAGTCCCGCATGGGGCTCCCTGCTCAGCGGGGAGTCTGCTTCTCCCTCTGACCCTCCTCCCTCTCATGCTCTCTCTCAAATAAATAAATAAAATCTTAAAAAAAAAATAAAAAAAGGAACCTATCCTAATAAAGTAATTCTAAATATGGAAAACATAGAAATATAGAAAAAAAATTCATGTTGGACTTATAAAATAATATTTGGAAATATCCTGAATGTCCAATAGGAGAATGATCATATTATGGTTTAGTAATTAGGTTCATTCCAAATGGTAAAAACAATGTAATAATATGGAAAGTCCTCATAGCACATTTTGTGAAAAAAAATGGATATAAAATTTTGTCAACATGATTACAATGATTTAATTTTTTAATTTTATTTTTAAGTAATCTCTAAAGCCAACATAGGGCTTGAACTCACAAATCTGAGATCAAGAGTTGCAATGCTCTACCGACTGAGCCAGCCAGGTGCCCCTACAATGTTTTTTTAAAATGGTATATATAGACCACAAAGTGTTATCATATGACCCAACAATTCCACTCTTAGATAGACATCCAAGAGAAATGAAAATGTATGTCCACACCAAAACTTGTATATGAATGTTCACAGCAGCATTATTCAAAATAGCCAAAAAATATAGTCAAATGTCTGTCGACTGATAAATGAGGAAACAAAATGTGATATATCCATACAATGGAATATTATTTGGCAATTAAAAAAAATACAGTACTGGGGTGCCTGGGTGGCTCAGTCGGTTAAGTGTCTGACTCTTGATCTTACCTCAGGTCTTGATCTCAAAGTCGTGAGTTCAAGCCCTGCATTAGGCTCCACGCTGGGTGTGGAGCCTACTTAAATGAATACAGTAGTGACAGCTGCTACAAAATGGATGAACCGTGAAAACATTATGCTAAGTGAGGGAAGCCAGACACAAAAGACACATATTGTAGGAGTCCATTCACTTGAAATGTCCAGAACAGGCAAATATATGAGACAAAGTAAATTAGTGGTTGCCTAGGGCTAGGGGATAAGGGGATATGGGATTTGGGGGCGGGGGAATGACATGTTCTAAAATCCTTTGTGGTGGGGAGCCTGGGTGGCTCAGTTGGTTAAGCATCCCACTCTTGGTACAGTATTTCGGCTCAGGTGGTGATCTCGGGGTCATGAGATTGAGCCCCACATCCAGATGTGAGCTCAGGGCAGAGTCTGCTGGAGATTTGCTCTCCTTCTGCCCCTCCACCCACTTGCACTCTTTCTCTAAAATAAAATTGTGATGACTGCACAACTCTGAATATAATAAAAACCATTGAACTGTACACTTTAAATGGGTGAGCTGTATGGTATGTGAGTTAGATCTCAAAGTTGTTACAAAAGTTTTCTAGTGGTACACATAGGGAATTGGAGGAAAAAATGTATCTGAGGTGGTGAAATTATGGGTAATTAAAAATCACTGTATTTTCCAATTGTTATGAGTATGTATGACTTCGTTTTTCTTAAGTAAACTCTAACCCCAATGTGGAGCTTGAACTCACAACCCCAAGATCAAGAGTTGCATGCTCGGGGCACCTGGGTGGCTCAGTTGTTAAGCGTCTGCCTTCCGCTCAGGTCATGATCACGGGGTCCTGGGATCGAGCCCCGCATCGGGCTCCCTGCTGGGCGGGAAGCCTGCTTCTCCCTCTCCCACTCCCCCTGCTTGTGTTCCCTCTCTCGCTGTGTCTCTGTCAAATAAATAAATAAAATCTTAAAAAAAAAAAGAGAGTTGCACGCTCCACCCACTGAGCCAGCCAGGCACCCCAAGTATGTATTACTTCTATAAGGAGAAAAGAAACCTTTTTTAAAAAAGCACCAGGTGCAAATAAATAAATAGCACCAGATGCATGTTCCACTTAAATGTAAATAAGCAGCATCACAACCTTTGCTCTTACCTCTCCGTAGGGTGTGGTTTTTACATTTAAGCTTATTATAAGACTTTAATATATTTTCATAATTAGATATTATATTTATATATTGTTTCTTTACACACACACATATGCTGGGGTTTGGGCAGGAGGAGGGAGCGGATGGGCAGGGTGGAGGAAGGGCCATATCAACCCAGGTGCCCTTCTAGCTCTCTCTGCCAAGATAGCCCCCCCAACCCCCACGGCCTAAAAGCTTAAAGCCCCTCCTTCAACTCTCCCCTTCAGGGCTGCCCCTATCACAGAGTCTCTTCCTGGACTGGTCTTTCCTTTGGTGGCGTCCCCCCCTCACCTGGGGTCGCAGCCCCCTCCCTCTGGCCGGGGACTGGGAAGAGTGGCCAGGGCCCGTTTCCACACGCGGGGTCAGAGCCCCCCTCACCTGGGGTCCCAACCCCCTCCGAGAGAGAGGCCGCCGGCCACGGACTGGGGTCCCTGTCTGACACCCGGTACACTCGCAGGCCTCGGGCCCAGGACACGCCCTCCCACGGCCGGGTCCCACCTGCCGCCCGGGGAATCCCTGGTCCCTCCCCCAGGCCCGCGGCCCCTCCTCCGGAGCCATGGAGCCGGGCCCCGGGGCCCCGGGCTCTTCCGCGGGGCGCCCGGAGGCCGGGCCCGAAGTCTCGGCGCCCGAGGGGCCCGCGCCGACCGCGTCGCCTTCGTGGGAGGCGGCGGGCGGCTCGCCGCCCTCGGGGCTCTCCTCGCGGCCGCCGACCTCGAGTCTAGGCGTGGGCAGGTCGCGGCTGCGCCAGGCCGGGTGGGGCGGGATGGCGGCCAGCGCGTTGCTGGAGGCCGGCCTGGCCCGCGTGCTCTTCTACCCGACGCTGCTGTACACCGTGTTCCGCGGAAAAGTGCCGGGCCGGGCGCACCGCGACTGGTACCACCGCATCGACCCCACGGTGGTGCTGGGTGCGCTGCCGCTGCGGAGTATGACGCGCCGGGTGAGCCGCGGCGGGGGAGCCGGGCCGGGAGGCCCGGCCGCGGCGGGACTGGGCGCCGGCGAGAGCCGCCCGCGCCTCGGCGGCCCTGTCTGAGCCCCCTCTTTGCCTCGGCAGCTGGTGCAGGACGAGAACGTGCGCGGGGTGATCACCATGAACGAGGAGTATGAGACGCGGTTCCTGTGTAACTCCTCAAAGGTGAGGGGCTGGGAGCGGGGCAGGGACAAGGGCAGGGGCACCCGCCAGCCCCATCCGCCACCCTGGTCCTACGACAGCGGGGGGGGGGAGGTCGGGGGAGAGGGAGCTGCAGGTGACTATGCCCCAGAGACACGTGCCCCAGGCTTTTCCGCCTCTTCAGGAGGAGGGTCCGCCCTCTAAGCTTAAATGGCTGTGGCTGGAGGTAGAAACTAATTGTGAAAGAGAAACCGATGTGAAAGGCATTTGAAAGTATAGTTGACAAAGTCTGACTGCTCCTTTGTGCACAAATGTGTTCTTAATTCCCGTAAATCAAGTCAGTAAGCAAATCGAAAGGCAATTTTTCTATGGCTTGCTGATTTCATTCATTCAAAACTTAGCACTATCAAGCACTGCCTTAGGCATTCAAGATGAAGACCCTATACTCTCTAAGAAGAAAAGCCACCCTCCGAGTCCCCAAGTATGTTTAATTTATCATAAAACGACCCCTTGAAAAATTGCATAGGCTTCATTTGGCATTGATTTGAGGGAGTTTTTATTCATATGTTAGCGATAAAGCGGAACTCCAAAGTATTGTCATAACAGAGTTCAGACCTAAAACAATTTTCATTAAGTTTCAATACTTGCTTGTGGAACTCTCCACACGGTTATTAGACATTGCGCTATCTTTATATAAAGATGTTGCCCTGGGATGCCTGGGTGGCTTAAGCATGGGACTCTTAATTTGGCTCAGGTCATGATCTTAGGTCTTGAGATCAACCCCACCTCTGGCTCCCTTTTGGATGTGGAGCCTGCTTAAGGTTCTCTCTCTCCCTCCCCTCCCCATGTCAAATAAATAAATAACGATGTTGCCCTATCTTTATCGTGTTGACATCTATTAGCACTACACAATCATCTTTCTTGTTTACTGATACAACCTGATGAAGAGGCTATTATTTCAACCGGTAGGTTTTTTTGTAACCTTAGAAATGGACTAACATTTAAAATATATTCATTAGTGATGACATACATTTTTAGGAAATGGATAACAGTTCCTTGGATTTCCCAGAGTACTTTGCTACAAGGCCTCAGGAATTATTAGCCACAATGTTAAATGTTCTTTAGTGTGGTCAGTCCTGTGGAGTAAGTCACAAAAAGTCCTTGGGTCTGAGGCACTGACGCTTGTACGATGCACCTATATTATCCAACTAGCCTAGAGAAAAGAAATCTCCTCGGCAGTGGTTCTCACATTTTAATAAGCATAAATACTGTCTGGCATTCTTGTTAAAATAGCAGATTCCTAGGTACAACCCCCCCAGAAATTCTGACTTAGGAACTTTAGGGTGGGATCCAGGAATCTGAATATTTAGCAAACTCCCGAGGTATTTCTGGCATAATTGATGCAAAGGCCCATGCGGCAAAACTGCGGTTTTTTGTTAATTTCATGAGCAGTATGAAATACTGACCTTCACTCAGTCATAAAGTCTTTGGTTCCAGCTAAACAGCTCCACTCATTAGCTGGAGCCTATTTGGAGTCTTTTTTTTTTTTTTTTTAAGATTTTACTTTTTAGGTAATCTATACCCAAGGTGGGACTTAAATTTACAACCGGATCATAAGTCGCATGCTCTACCAACTGAGCCAGACAGGTACCATCTTATCTGGAGTCTTACAGGCAAAAAAAAGGGGAAAAGAAAAAAAAAAAGCTTGATATGACAGAGGCCTTATTTCTTCTATCACTTATTCTTTTCTTTTTCTGAAGTGATAATGTACTAACAAAGGTAGGTGTGTTGTTTTAATTTTAAAATGGTAACTCTATTTTCTGCCATGTACTCTCTCAAAAAAAAAAAAAGTGGCAGAGGGGCGCCTGGGTGGCTCAGTCGTTAAGTGTCTGCCTTTGGCTCAGGTCGTGATCCCAGGGTCTTGGGATCGAGCCCCACATCAGGCTCCCTGCTTGGTGGGGAGTCTGCTTCTCCCTCGCCCTCTGCCTGCCGCTCTCCCTACTCGTGCTCTTTCTCTTTCTGTCTGTCAAATAAATAAATAAAATCTTAAAAAAAAAAAAAAAAAGATTGAAACACCCAAAGGGTACTTGAGGAACATTTTAAATCTTGAACATAATTCTAAGTCAGTAGCACAGCTGTTGTTTGATGAAAGACCCATCATGCAGGTCAGCCATTTTAAAGACATCTCTGTAAGAAGTTTCTTGTTTAAGTATAGCCACATTGTAGTAAACCTTAAGCTTCCTTGTTATTTTGCTGTCTCTTGGGAGCCTGTATTCAAACTACTCACGTGAGGCTTTTTTCCTTCTCTTTTGTATGCTGGCGGACCTGGTTCCAGGAATGGAGGAACGTAGGAGTCGAGCAGCTGCGCCTCAGCACAGTAGACATGACTGGAGTCCCAACCTTGGCTAACCTCCAGAAAGGAGTCCAGTTTGCTCTCAAGTACCAGGCGCTGGGCCAGTCTGTCTACGTGCATTGTAAGGCTGGGCGCTCCAGAAGTGCCACTATGGTGGCAGCATATCTGATTCAGGTAGGAAAGGTCTTTCTGGACTGGTCTATTCATAGCATATTTCTAGAACTTCAGTAGCGTGGTCTCCTGGAAGGCCTTGCTGGAAGGAGCCATGTCCCCAATTTCTGGCTGTTGGGAGGTGGAAAGCACCTGAAGTTTGCAGATAGGCTGACCTCTGGCTTTGCCACCTAACAGCTGTGTGACCTTAGGCAAAAGTGGCTTCCCCTCTCTGATCCTCAAACTAAATGTGTCATAAAGCTTGAATGAGAAAGTATGTCAAGCACTGACCTACCTACAACAGGCACTCAAAAAATGAAGTTGCAAAGGATGTTAACACCAGTAAAAGACTAAAATAAAAGCACTTTTTATAAATAGCACGTCAGGAAATCTAGTACTGTAGACAGTAGTGCTGGTCACTTAACAGCTCTGTAGGACTGAAGATTTCTTGAAGTATTTCAGAATAAAGTTCCAGACATTAGCTTCTAGAAACAGAGGATCCAATGGAATTTTGTCTATCACTTTATGATTGGCAGGTGTGAGGCTTTTAAGACTATGTATAAGCAAATACTCTCTAGTCCATTACTCCCTGTTACACAACTCCCAACTTGACTCATTTTTTGTTACCTGTCTGGCCCCTGTAGAACATTTACTAAGTTATGTGGATAGTTTAAGGAAAAAGGAAATGTAGAGATAACAGGCCTGGCTTTGAGTTACTGTGGACTGGTATGTGATTTAACAGTATTAAAGCTCTGATCATTAGGACTCTATTTACTGGAAATGGGTTCTCAGGAGGATATTTTGGACTTTGTGAGAATTGACCCAGCTGGGCTTGAAATCTGTAGTTTCTTGGTTTTGTACAGTTCTAAACCAATAGGTATCCTTAGGATACAAAGATAACCCTCTTACTTAAATCTAAAAAGTGCTGTTTTCCTAGCCATGATGACAAGTTGAATAAAAACATCTACCATATACTCTCTCCAGGAAACATAACCAACTGCCCGCAGCTCCCAGAGGACATCTAATAGGCCTTCGCAGGCTTGAATTAGGGTCTCAGCTTTGCATGTTCAACTTTCTTTTTCCAGGGTTTGGCATAGCAAGAATTAGGTAGAAAGATTGACTTGTCCGCTCAGCCTATTGCAAAGTATTGTGGGACTGGTTGACTGAGGGGGTTATAGTACCCCCCCATTTATAATATATGGGGCATGTTTTTTAATGCCCCCCCCAAATGAAGTTTTTAAAATAATGAAATTCTGAGAGTCCATTAGCACCTGTTATTAGGTCAAGGACACCTTAACACCTCCTTTCTTTCTCTGATTTCCCAATCCTGTACTTCAGGTGTACAACTGGAGTCCAGAGGAGGCTATAAGAGCCATCACCAAGATCCGGTCACACATCCACATCAGATCTGGCCAGTTGGAAGTTCTCAAAGAGTTCCACAAGGAGATTACTGCAGGGGCAGCAAAGGATAAGACTGGTCACACATCACAGACGTGAAATACACAGATTAGAAAGAACTCAAGACAACCCTGCTTGCTATAGAATCAAATAGCTTTAACAGGACCAAGGGGGATTACGCCCAGACTTGACGTAGCAGAAATGTGCTGAGTAATGGATAATTTTGCTCCTTTGTCTTGTTTCACTTTCCTGAAGTAACGCTGTCGTATGCCTAGAGAGATTTAGCGTGGCTTCGATTCACTGGCTACGGGGACATGGGATGCGGGTCCTCGTTTTCTTGAAGAGGGTCAAAGAGATCTATTGTGTGCTGACGCTGTGCCTGATGATATTTAGCACGACTCAAAAACATTCAACACTGGGAAAGAGGAGAAATACTCAGCTCAGACTCTTTGCCACTGTCAGACCCCAATTCACGGGCCCCATGGGGCTCTCCTCCCCTTTTGGAGCAGTGATCCTGTATGTAGAAAAGGAAGTACAGGATCTAGTCAGTATTGTGGCAAGTATGCAATCCATTTACCTTAGGGAATCACTCCTTCAGAATTCAAAACAGACACACATATCCCTTCCAAAACTTTTATTTGTATGAACACTTCCTAGCTCTTGGCTTACCTTAGTGCTTTTAAAAGAGTAAAGACCTTACATATTTAAATTTGAAAAAAGTTTCTGCTATTAATCAGAAATAATACTTTCTACTTCTTTCTGGGTTACTCTTTGGAGTAAGCCAGAAATAAAACCAAACTGTTGGGCGCCTGGGTGGCTCAGTCAGTCAAGCACCCGCCTTCGGCTCAGGTCATGATCCCAGAGTCCTGGGATCAAGTCCCGCATCAGACTCCCTGCTCCTCGGGGAGTCTGCTTCTCCCTCTGCCCCTTCCCCCACTCGTTCTCTCTCTCTCAAATAAATAAAATCTTAACCCCCCCCCAAAAAAAAACCCAAAGAAGTGTTCACTGGGTATCTAACCCAAAGATACAAATGTAGTAATCCGAAGGGGTACCTGCACCCCAATGTTTATAGCACCAATGTCCACAATAGCCAAACTATGGAAAGAGCCCAGATGTCCATTGACTGATGAATGGATAAAGATGTGGTATATATATACAATGGAATATTACACAGCCATCAAAAAATGAAATCTTGCCATTTGCAATAACGTGGGTAGAACTAGAGGGTATTATGCTAAGCGAAATAAGTCAATCAGAGAAAGACAATTATCATAGGATCTCACTGATATGTGGAATTTAAGAAACAAGGCAGAGGATCATAGAGGAAAAGAGGACAAAATGAAACAAGACGAAAACAGAGGGAGACAAACCATAAGAGACTCTTAATCTTAGGAAACAAACTGAGGCTTGCTGGAGGGGAGGGGGTGGGGGGTTGGGGTGGCTGGGTGATGGACATTGGGGAGGGTATGTGTTGTGGTGAGCACTGGGTGTTGTGTAAGACTGATGAATCACAGAGCTGTACCCCTGAAACAAAAAATACAGTCTAAAGAAAAATTAAAAATAAATAAATAGCATGTATACGGAGGGGAAAAAGAAGAAGAAGAAAAAAAAAAAAAAACGCAAAAAACCCAAACCAACAAACAAAAAAACCCCAAAGTGTTCATTTCCTGACAGGTGAGAAAACATGAGATGCAGTGTCCTGAATTCTAGAGTTGGTGCTTGCTGGTGAAGGACACCTTCAGCTTAGACCATTCTCCCAACCAAAGCCTGAAGAAAAACTCTAATACCTAATTCTTTGTGGGAAAATTACCAACCAGCCACTCTGCAGGTTATAAAAAAAAAGGAAGATGGGGGCATCTTTCCTTCTGTCCTGGGTCAGAGGTGCCTCTACTTAACATTGATCAGGGAATGAGAGGCGGCTGTGCCTGCGGTCTGAGAACTGGCTTACTCGCAGCCGTCCGCAGTGAGGCACCGGATTACCAGAGGACAGCAGAGGGCCGGCTGGCTCCTGTTGGAGCAGCCAGCTGAGCAGCATCGGTCCAAAAAGCCCCAAATGGAACACCCCTATGGGTTCAGGAAGGACTGAGGTGCTGCCCTTTCTAACATGTGCCCAAAAAATAACATAGTACTCTGATCAGGGCCCCAGGGACTTTGAATTCGGATGGATAGGTGCCGGAAAATGGGAGGGCAAAAGTCAGCTGCTCTTCCCCCCACAGCCTTAGGCCAACACAAACTGCAAATTAGTAAGTAGCACCTTAATGCCTCTGGTGACAGTTACAGCCGAAGTGGCAGGGTCAAGCTTGTAGGTGTTGGCATCCCCCTTTTTATATCGGTCCCGAAAAACATAGATGCTCCCGTTACAGCTGGCGATCTTCCAGAGGGATGGGGCAGAGCTCCAGGCCTCAGGAAGGCAAAGCCGGGTAAAGCTGTCTAGCAGGGGATTGTAGCACACCAGGGAGTCCCCTTCAGCCACGATGAACACCAGATCCTTATGCACAGCTGCGTGCATGCGACCTGCGAAGGGCAGAACATAGGGCTTCACATGGCATTTGTCTGTCTCTGTGTCAAAGCACTGGATGAGTCGGGAAGGTTTGGTAAAGAAGTCCAGGTCATTCTCCTCCCCCCCGAGTAAGTAGATGATCCCGTTAAGGTTGGCACCAGCGGCCCCTGACACAGCCACCTCTAGCTGGGTTGTCTCTGTCCAGACGTTGTCACCTACCCGATAATAGATCACTGCATTGGAGAGGGTATCCTGCAGTGTCTTGCCACCCAGTGAATATATAGCATCTTTCCCGGGCACAGACACCAGGGTGTGCTGGAGCCGGTCCCGGGGCAAAGGTGCACACCATTCCCAGTCCACAGTGGCATTGTTGCACTTCCACATGCGCCGTGGGATGGACCCTCCCACCACGTATAAGTCTCCACCGTGCTTACAGGCTGCAGTGATCTGGTGGCACAAGCTGTTTTGGCCACTTACACTGATGGAGTCATCTTCTGCACAGTGTAAGGACACAGCCAACGAGTGGGTACGAGATGACTCTTTCCCGATCAGGTAAATGTGCACATTCTCCCCGATCTCCTATTGGCAAAATTAAAATCATAGATGACATCTATCAGTTCTAGGCTAAGGCTCAGCTGAGACGCCTACCCTTCAGGTTCTGGACCACACACTTGTATCCTGCTCTAACCTACTTCCCTCGAGTTACTGTGTGCCATTCTGACTGTCCTCCAGTCACTTTCTTTCAGACATTTTATGCTGGGGCAGAGAATCTGTTGCTCTCCTCCCGAGCTGGTGCTTTAGAAAAAAAGGTGCTTAGGATTAATGCAATGGTAAAAGTAGTTCTCTCAAGGAACTTTGTGGAGCTCAGAGGCTGGTGGTTTCTGGGCTCATGCACACATCCTCTTCCCCAGTTCTTAACTTTGAACCAGAGATGACTCATTAACCAGCTAACAATGAGGCCAGACCAATAGCTGGAATGCATAGATATTATGGTGTCCCAACCCTAAAGAGAAATCTGCCTTACCTTCAAGCTAGTTCTCAGTGACTCTGCAAAAGCCTCTCTTTCTTCTTTATTGAAATTGATCCAGGCTTCTATTGCCTCTGTTGGGTTCTGGGAACATGGAACTCCGTCTGTGGGAGTCAGAGGAAAGACAGAGTCAATGGCAATCCAACAATCCAAAAGGGAAATTTAAAGCCAGTGTGAATCACTTTGTTGGACTATCACCGTGTGTGTGTGTGTGTGTGTGTGTGTGTGTGTGTAAGAAATTAACCTAAATTGCATACCTCACTTGCAGGGTCAGGATTGTTTTTTGTTTTGTTTGTTTTTTAAAGATTTATTTACTGGGCACCTGTGTGGTTCAGTTGGTTTAGCATTTGACTCTTGGTCTGGGCTCAGGTCATGATCTCATGGTCGTGGGATCAAGCCCCGTATGGGGCTCTCTGCTCAGTGCAGAGCCTGCTTCAGATTCTTTCTCCCTCTCCCTCTGCCCCTTCCCACTTGCACCCTCACGCAGTGGCACTCTCTTTCTAAAATAAATAAATAAAATCTTAAAACATTTTTATTTATTTGAGAGAGAGAGAGCACGCATGAGCGGGGAGAGGGGGGCAACGGGAGAGGGAGAGAGAATCTCAAGCAGACCTTTGCTGAGTGCAGAGCCCCACACGAGGCTTGATCCCACAATACAAAGACCAGGACCTGAGCTGAATCCAAGAGAGCAAGGCTTACGGACTGAGTCACCCAAGCGTCCCCAGGGTCAGGATTGTTACCTTAAGTCGGCCCATCACTTAAAATGTTATGTAAATATCTTGACTCATCATCAATTTACTTAGGTAACCAGTCCCACAGGTACAGGCAAAGTGCAGGATAGATGAGAACATTTATACACAAAACAGCTCCTCACTACCTTTTTTTTTTTTTATTCAATACTTGTATATAGTTGACCCCATGTGTGGGTACACTTATATGTGGATTTTTTTCAATAAATGTACAGTATTGCAAATGTATTTTCTCTTCCTTATGATTTTTCTAATAACATTTTCTTTTCTCTAGTTTTATCGTAAGAACACAGTACATAATACAACATACAAAATACATGTTAATTGATTGCTTATGTTATCGATAATGCTTCCGGTCAACAGCAGGGTGTTTGTGAAGTTTTGGGGGGAGTCAAAATTATACATGGATTTTGACCGTGCAGAGGTCGCAGTCCTCATCCCCACATTGTTCAAGGGTTAACTGTATATCACAAAGTACTGCTTTTATTTTCCAGGGTTCTTGCTCTGGAAAGGACTGCCTATGACAGCAGCTAAATCTCACCTCAATCTCTCAAAAGGGATCTAAATTCTTACCAGGAATAATAATGTAAATTAATACCAGGAAGCCTGAAGATTCCTTTCTCCTGAACTAGAAGCTCCACTAAACATCATACCCAAGTAGTTGAGTATGATGTGCCCCCTCCCTCAACTTACCCGAGATGATATCAGTGAGTAGATGGTGGGGCAGGTGGAGAAATTCCTCTGTGCTCTGCAGCTGGGCCAGGTGGGCCTTGGCACAGTGTTTGGCAGCAGTATAGAGCTCAGGATCACTGTGCCTATCTGCCAGCCACATCACCTGAAGGCAGTTCCCCACCTGCACTGTGCGGGCCAAAAACCGAGAACATTCCTCAAAGAGAGATGTCAGCTGATACATGTCTGACACCTCATAAATTTCCTGTAGCTCTTCAGTTCGAAGTTTCACGGTCCCATGGTAGATATAATCAACCAGGAGCTGGAAAACAGATTCGCTGACATCCTGCAGTACAATCACTCGGTTGTGAGCCTCCTTCAGGTTGGAAGTGAACATGGACCGGAAAAAGCAGCTCTGAGCTGAGAGGACCAACCTGTGGAGCTGAAACTCCCGGCCTTCCACTGAAATGGTGACATCAGCAAAGAGCTCTTCCTCCAGACACAGTTTCATGATGCCCTGAGCCACACGGCCAGAGTGTGACCTATCTTTGAAAGTGTAGTTCACAAAGTAGTTTTCATCCATGGATGCTCCAGGCTCCTCTGGTGATTCCATGGTAGCCAACTTTTCTCTCTGCCAGCTGTCTGCAAAGCAACACCACCCTGAGTAATGGGGAATCCACAGTCTTTGAATCCAACTGTTCAATTCAGGGAGGGAGAAGATAAAAGTGACAGCAAAGTAGGCGGAGATTGACCTTAGTCCTAATGACCTCTCGGAAGCTCTCCTTCAACCAAAGCTGAGTTCATTCTGCAGTGCACTCCATCCCTAATGAAATCAATAAAATTTCCTACTCTGGGTGTTTCCCTAAGAAAACAGAATATTCCTTTCCATGATGTAACAAAAGGCTTGGTATTTAGGCCAACACGTGAAAGCAAGGCGCTGGATGAAGCCTATGATCTTAAGCCTGGCAAAAAGCCTTACTAACCAAATGACTATTGGGCACAAAACTAGTGAGGCTCTGGGCAGCAGAACCCGACAAAATAGACCCCCACGTTCTTGTGGACAAGGTCCCTCTTCCCCCGCGCAGGGAGTTCAGACCTTCCAAAATGAGGCTTGGCCTGGGACATCTGTTAGCCCCACATTTTCTCTTTTCTGCTTCTCTCCTGCACTTCCCTGCTCGCCCTAATGACTCCCCAGGACTCCGTCCCAGAACGCGAGACGAAGCCCGGCCGTCCCCTGCCCGGTTCAAGAGTAGGCCCAGCGCCTTGAGTCGCCTAGGAAACGGTCGCTAGGGAAACCGTTCTCCTCTCTCCCCCTCTCCCCAATACCCCGCCCCCGGCTCCTCTCCACGCCCCCTCCCGGCGCCCGCCGGCCCCAGTCAAAAGCTTAGCTCGGGGGGCGGGGGAGGGGAGTGGAATGTGGAACCCAGAACCCCGGCCCCTTCCCTTCCCCTTCTCTCACCCGTCCGGTTCTTTAGGGTCCTCGCCTTCTCTCCAGCCTCTGCTACACCAAACTAGGGCCACGTTCACCTCACGGTTTGCCCACCTGTCTACCTCAGTTTCTCACCTGCCTACCCTTTTATTCTGAAGCCCGGAATCCGGAACCTCTGCTTTCGGCCCCGCGTCCGCCCGGAAGAAAAATTGGACGTACACTTCCGCTTCCGGTCCGTGCCCTTGGGGCTCCGTGTCCTGTGGCTCCTGCCTTGCCTGCCTGGTTGCATCCCGGAACATGGCGGCGGCGGCGGCGAGGGGGTGGTGGCGGGGGCTCGTGGGGTCCGTGGCGCTGGCCAGGGGTAAGCCGGGGGCAGCCGGCTGAGGCCCGGGGCGGGAGCGGAGGCGCGCTTAGCGCAGGGAGCCCATCAAACTTCACCTTGCGCTTGTCTTTTTATCTTCCGGTGCAGGGGCCGGGCGACCCTCGGTGCTGTTGCTGCGGGTGAGGAGGGAAAGCGCCGCGGCTGACACGCGCCGTGAGTATGTGCGGGCCGGGCCCTTCTCGGGACTACAGGCGGGGGACCCTTCATTCTTTTCGTCAGGTGTTTGCCCTTGCCCTGGGATGCCCTTCCCTGTGTCCTCTGGCAAATCTCTGCTTGTGGAGACCTGACTGCAGTGGGCCTCATTCTGCGAGCAGAATCGGGCTCTCCCTGTGTCCTTATGTCTCCCTGTTATGGCCCTGATTACCCCTTGTCCGTTTCCATGATTCCTTTTCGCTCTGATTAAACTGTCAGCTCTTTGAGAGCAGGAAACAGCGTTTGGGTCTTAGAGTCCTGTTAAGATAGTAGTTCACATTGAGTGCTTGTTGTGTGCTAGGCAGCTTGCTAAGTGATTTAGCGAATGATTTTATTTAGTCTTCAGAACAATATTATGAGGTAGATAGCATTGTGATCCTCTTACTATAGATTAGGAAACAATTCAGAGAAGTAACTTGTTCAGAGTCACAGAACTAGTGAGTGACAGGCAGTCCTGCCCGCTGCCAAAGGCAGAGAACACTTAACCATGGTGTGTGCAACCTATGATGTGTGGTGACTCAGTGATTGAGGGATGCGTAAATGGGTGTATGGAGATATAGCACAATCAACATAAGCAGATTGAGGGTCAGGAGACCTGGCATTTCCTCCTTTTGGACTTCAGTTTCCTTATCAGTGGGGGGAAAAAAGTTTTTTGGTTTTTTTTTTTTTTAGTTTTTTTATTTGAGAGAGAGATAGCGACACATAGGGAGAGAGAGAGAGTATGAGCAGGGAGGAGAGGGAGAAGCAGGCTCCATCCCAGAACCCTGGGATCATGACCTGAGCCAAAGGCAGACGCTTGACCAACTGAACCACCTAGGCGCCGCCCCCCCCCAAAAAAAGGTTTCAACTAGATAATCTTTGAGGGCTCTTCAGCCCTGAAGTTCTTAGCTTGAGAACCTGCTGTGAGCCAGGTTCTAAGGAGATAACAGAGAAGCAAACGTTCTGGTTCCCACCCTTAAAGAGTTCCTGGTCTGGTAAGAGAGTTGAGATAATATGCTACTCTAGCAGAAATGCAGGCGTTGTGAAGGAAGAACCAGGGAATAGCTTTGAGAAGAGGCAAATACCCCAATTGCAGTTATAAGAAGAGTCTTTGTGGACTTTGTAGGTGACATTTTTTCCTAAGTTTTCCCTGGAAGAGGAACCCTCCACCCTCAGCTTCTTCAAGGTTCTGCAGGGAGCCCTGCTGGGAGGCAACACCCCTTTGGAGCCCAAGAGACTGAATGCAGGCGTGGCTGCTGCCTTCTCCATTCCTTTGTTAAATATGCCTTCTCCTTCCAGCCACTGTCAGACCTCGGGATGATGTGGCCCACAAGCAGCTCTCAGCTTTTGGAGAGTACGTGGCTGAAATCCTGCCCAAGTATGTCCAACAAGTTCAGGTAATATTCACAACCGTTGTTTGGTCATGGGTCAAGAAAGAACCATGTTCTCAGGGTATGTAGGAGTAGGCAGCCTGGTATGAAAGAAACCAATCTCTTCTATCCCACTTGGACTTTTTTCTCTGTCTTAAACCAGGATACTCCAGTTGAAGTTAGCTGCTCTCTCAATAGCTCTTTGTACCTTCTTTTTTCCCTTTCTGTATCTGCAGGTGTCTTGCTTCAATGAGTTAGAGATCTGTATCCATCCTGATGGAGTCATCCCAGTGCTGACTTTCCTTAGGGATCACACCAATGCACAATTCAAATCCTTGGCTGACTTGACAGCAGTGGACATCCCTACTCGGCAGAATCGTTTTGAGGTCAGTAAGGAAATTTGAGAAGATTTGGTGGGTAAAGAAAAGGCTTGTGTGTCTTAGGGTGATAGCTACCAATGGGAACCATAGGCCTCCTTAGTTTTACTTCAGGTCAAACAATACAACAGTACAAACAATACAACACAGCAGTTAAACTAGGGCCTTAAATCAAGCAAACCTCAAGTTTGAATCCTAGCTCTGCCACTAATAGGCTACGTGACTTCAGACATTTTGTTTAATCTTTTTTTTTTTTTAAAGATTTAATTTATTTATTTGACAGAGACACAGCGAGAGAGGGAACACAAGCAGGGGGAGTGAGAGAGGGAGAAGCAGGCTTCCCGCTGAGCAGGGAGCCCAATGCAGGGCTCGATCCCAAGACCCTGGGATCATGACCTGAGCCAAAGGCAGACACCCAACGACTGAGCCACCCAGGCGCCCCTTGTTTAATCTTTCTAAGCTTAAGACTTTTTTTTTTTTTTTTAAGATTATTTATTTGTTTGAGAGAGAGCACACATGCACAAACGGGGTAGGGGCAGAGGGAGAGGGAGAAGCAGACTCCCTGCTGAGTGGGGAGCCTGATCCCAGGACCCTGAGATCATGACCCAAGCCAAAGTCAGATGCTTAACCTATCAAGCCACCCAGGTGCCTCTAAGCTTTAGATTTCTTATGTGCAAAATAAGCATAAAATTGTCCCTACTTCATAGAGTGGTTGTGAGGATGAAATGAGATAGTATGGGTAGATTGCCAGCACATGGTATGTTCTTAATACGTTTAGCTGTTGATTTTTACTAATCATCTAATTGCCAGATCTTGGGATCAAAGGAGAAGTAATACCCAATACCTGCCCTCAAGGAGTACCCCCGCCAACTCTAGTGAGGGGGAGGGACACATACAGGGCTAACCGTGATAACATAATGCATGGGATGTTAGATGCTATGAGAACACAGGAAGGGCACTCAGTTCTGTTGGGAGGCCTTGAAGAGAGAGAGAAAGTTAGTGTTGAACCTTCATGGATGACCAAGAGACCAGGAATGAACCCAGTAAGGATTGGGGCTGGCGGGGGTGGTGGGGATCCAGTGTCATCCCAGACAAAGGGAATACCATGAGCAAAGATAAGCATGCTGACATGCTAAGCTATAGCATGGCTTAGGCCTTCAGAAGTAGTTGTAAATATAGGAGGATCTTGAGGTTTTTGAGCTTCAGGACAGAAGACACGTTCACAGGTAGAATCCTAACCCACCTTGTATCCTCGTCATTGATGTTCTCACTCAGGGCCTCCCACCCCAGACTCTGGCCATCTCGGTCCTCCAGTTCCTTCTGCTCTCCCTAGATTGTTTACAACCTGCTTTCTCTGCGCTTCAACTCTCGGATCCGTGTGAAGACTTATACAGATGAGCTGACACCTGTTGAGTCCACTGTTTCTGTGTACAAGGCAGCTAACTGGTATGAGAGGGAGGTAAGTTACTAGACATGGTGGATCCTGCCTCTAGGCCAGAGTTGCAAAATTGGTTGAAACTATTGCATGCAGTGCATCCTCACCCCTGTGTTGGCCATGATGGACTAGTTGCCTGAGGGCCTCTTTTTTTCTAGATCTGGGACATGTTTGGAGTTTTCTTTGCTAACCACCCTGACCTAAGAAGGATCCTGACAGACTATGGCTTTGAGGGACATCCTTTCCGGAAAGACTTTCCCCTGTCTGGCTACGTTGAGGTAGGAGGAACCTTGAAACTGGGGCAGCAGCCTTGGAGAAGGACTGGCAGGGAACCTGGATATCCTGGGAATGGCAGGAAATATGGTCTGTGTATTGTGGTGGGTCTAAGAACATAGGCTCGGGGCGGGGAGAACATAGGCTCTGGATTCAAATCCTAGCATCACTTTTGTAATCTGGGGCCTGTTACTTACTTTCTCTATGACGATTTTCTCAGCTGCAAAATGGTAACAATAGTACTTAACTAATAAGATTTATGGTGAGCTAAATGATGTATGGTTACAGCCTGGTGTCCTGTAAATACTCAGTTGACACCAGCCATTATCATAATGATCATTTTAATGACCAAGGCGACCTTGAGGACACACTTCGTCTGTCCACAAGATCTAAAAGCAAAGGACCATTTGCCCTGCCCTGGACCTCTGAGAAGGCACCTGACAGGGAAGACACTAAATGTTTAGCCCTTGAGAATGGTCAGAGGCAGGATCAGTAATGTGTGACTACAAGGGCCTTATGAAGAATTCCAGTGCTTTGCTTTACCACCCTTGTGCTACAGGTTGTTCAGGAGCAGGAAGATGGTCTACTGCATACATAAACATGTGATTTTGTAGCAAAGTAACTTTTTAGAAATGCTGAACTAGTGGCAATCCACCCTTTCTCTTCAGTACCCAAAGATGCCTGTTTCCTCAGTGTTTTGCATGGTCTCATTTGCTTCTCCAGCTGCTTCTGGTTAGGGCTACTTCCCTCTCCTTGTTTTCACTGTCTCCCTTACCTGGTTTGCCTCTTCACCCCACCACCTGTTTGTCTTTACCTTATCCAACTGATCCTCCCACCAAGAAAAGGAATGCCGGGGCGCCTGGGTGGCTCAGTTGGTTAAGCGACTGCCTTCGGCTCGGGTCATGATCCTGGAGTCCCGGGATCGAGTCCTGCATCGGGCTCCCCGCTCTGCAGGGAGTCTGCTCCTCCCTCTGACCCTCCCCCCTCTCATGTGCTCTCTCTCTCTTTCTCTCAAATAAATAAGTAAAAATCTTTAAAAAAAAAAAAAAAAAAAAGGAATGCCAAATTTATTGCCTTGTATCTTGACAGTGATAATGCCAAAGCCACATGGTCTGAATCTAAGTGCTTGCTAGTTTAGGTTCACTCTTTTCAGCCACTGACTTGCTTCCTAATCCTGGGCTGATGCTTACCATTTCCTTATAAGAGTGGATGGGTGAGCAAAGTCAATGGTGCTGGAAAAGTTGCTCAGAGCTTGTGATGTGGGGATGGTGAGCAGGGGAGTGTGGCTCGGTGATAGCAGGCCATTTTGGACTAAGGGTGGGATGTGACTTGATCGGTAATACTGAAGTGCATGGAGACTTGCTGACAGAGGCTGGCATAGCACTCAAGGACAGAGAAGTAATGCAATTGGTGAAGTCACCCGTGCCCTTGGGAACATAGGCTCCTTAGAGGCTTAGTAGCTCTGAACAAGGTCTTCCTCAGTGCTTAAACCGTTCTCTTCTGCAGTTACGCTATGACGATGAGGTGAAGCGGGTGGTGGCTGAGCCCGTGGAGTTGGCCCAGGAGTTCCGCAAGTTTGACCTGAACAGCCCATGGGAGGCTTTCCCTGCCTATCGCCAGCCCCCTGAGAGTCTCAAGCTTGAAGCAGGAGACAAGAAACCTGAAACCAAGTAGCTCCAAGGAAGGCATGTGGATTACTAGAAAGCGGTTTATCTATAACTGAGCATCCCTGTAAATAAAATCCTTAGACGAATGACTTCTTGTGTGCTTACAGGTCAAGTGAAGCTTGACTCGGGAGAGGGGTTTTTTCCCCCTGTCCCTTAAAGAGAATACCAACCTAGGAGTCTCTTTTAGTACAGTTGCAGACATGGTGACCTGCAGGCCTGGATGTACCTCTGAGAGAGGGATTCTGGAGCTGAAATGGAAAGTTCTCACTGTCCACAGGGCTTAGGATGGGTGTGGCATGGCGTCTCCTGAAAATTGGAGGGCCCTCAACAACTGCAGGAGAAAACCCCTGGTCACAGCAGACTGTCTGGTGGCAGCTGATGGATCAAGGGGTCTAGGTGGAACCAGGGAAACCCCCCCCATCCCATCCAAGCATCCACAGGGTTCCACGAGCCACAGCTCAGTTTAGAGTCTTGAACCCTGCATCCTGCTCCCCGCTAACAGCCCATCACGCTTGGGCTAAGGTAATCTTCCTGGACTCCAGCCAGAGCTGAGAATGTTGTAAGCAAGCAAAGGAAATCCCAGGGCTGCTGCAAAAGATACTCAGAAGCTGCAGATCTGTCTTCTAGGCGACAGGACTCTACCCTAACCAGCCTGGGGTCTGTATGGCTGGTGGCTGAGTGCCCGAGGTGCAAGTGCTCAGCTCTGCTGGTCCATGGGGCCACCCAGCCAGCCTGCCATGTAGATGGAGAACCATTGCAGTTCCAGAACCAAGCTTTGCAGCTGATGCTTTTGGCTGCTGAGGGGCTCCCTGGAGGCTGGGCTGGGCTGGGCTGGGCTGGGCTGGACTGGGTGTTAGAGCCTGAGCTCAGCTGCAGGATGTTTTGGGGTTGAGGACAGATAGTAAGGTAGTGTTACTGCCTGGGCTCTTTCCTACTTCTTGGGAGGGCCAAGCTAGAGCTGTTCGCTACCAAGCATCATTTTTCTAGTAAGCAAGCATCCCGCCCATCTGGACAGGAACAGGCTGAGGGCTTGACAAGCAGGGAGCCAGACTCCTACCGCCAGCAACTAAAGATTCCACATTTCCATGGGATGGAAAGGTACTGGGAAGTCAGAGCCAACCCCTCCCTGTTTAGCATTGAAGGCTGACACACAAAATAGGGAACGCCTGAGCAGCCTGCAGTGGAAAGTTGGAGCCGTGGTGTGTGGCGGGCGGACGCAGGAGCAGAGAGCAGCTGGGGAGAGGAAGACTCAGAGGACGTGGTGGGACATGGCTGGGACGATGCAGTTCCTGTCTTGGCTAATAGTAACCATTTACCTTCTCCCTGGGGTGACTACAACCCAGCACCGTCCAGGTACCGGGGCTTTAGGGTGGCGTGGATGGGAGCCAAGGAATGCTGCTGGCTGATAGCAGCTAAAGTTGGTTCTACCTGAACCTAGCAGGGCCTAGGCACTGTGGGCCTGGTACCAGATTAACCTATGCAACAGGGGTAATAGTCTGGGCTCCGACCCTGGAACCAGAAAGTCCAAGTGAAGGGAGGTAGTTCCAGGTGCCCTCACTGCCAGCCCTGGACAGAGGTGGACAGTGGCCTTATTCTAGATGTGCAAAGCAGGACCTCTGGACCTGCCCTGGGCCTGGGACCATCATTCTAAGGGCTGAGCAGCATACCAGGGTGTGAGATGAAGGAAGCTGCAGCAGACAACCGCCTTGCCTGGCTTCCCTGCCTTTTGCATGACCACTACTGAGGAGCAAGGAAGGAGCAGATTTCTTCCTAAAGAGGTCCTTGACCCTTGAGGAGAGTCACTGGCACTGTTTTAGGTCACACTGTCCCAGATGATTATAGGGAGGGGAAGTCGGAAGTGAAGTGTCTTGTGACCCAATGGTCGAGTTCTTTGCCAAGGGAACTGCAGAAGTTCAAGGAGGAGTCCTGGACATTTGCTGAGGTGGTATCTGGGTTTGGGATGATGATTTGGGGATCACAAGACCTATGCCTGGGAGGGTGAATGTCAATGTGTGTGTGTGTGAAGGGGGACATGGGATGGCATTCCTGCTCTTTTGTAGATAGAAGAACCTCTACGCATTCCTACCAAATAGCTAAGGGGCACTTCTGGGAGGCTGGGGTATTCAAGATGGAGCTTGGCAGGGCCTGACTCCTTTCTGCTGGCCCAGGGCAGCCCATGGACAGCGCCAGCGTGGGAGGTGGCCTGCAGGAGCCAGAGGCCCCGGAAGTGATGTTTGAGGTCTTTCCTCCAGCCTGGGATATGGGGGAGGGAGTGTCCAGAGGTCCCTAAGCTCAGGGTTGGGAAGGGGGATGTCTCAAGCTAGGCCTGCTGGGTGGGGGGTGGGGGGGTAACCCAGCATGGGTCCTACTGCCTGCTTATGCCCTCCCTGGCCCACTCTTGTTCCCTGCCCTGCCCTCCCAGGCCCCAGCCCACCCCTTACATGGCTCCCCTTGCAGCTGCTCTGGGCTGGTCTGGAGCTGGATGTCGTGGGGCAGCTGCATATCCAGGACGAGGAACTGGCATCCACACGCCCAGGCCGCCGACTCAGGCTCCTCCTGCAGCAACATGTGCCCAGTGACTTGGAGGGTGCTAAGCAGCGGCTGCAGCAGTTCCAGGACCTGCGGAAAGGGCCTCCTCTTAGCCCTTGGGACTTTGAACATCTGCTCCTCACAGGCCTGTCCTGTGTCTACCGGCTCCATGAGGCTAGTGAGGCTGAGGAGAGGGGTCGCTGGGCCCAGGTCTTCACCCTGCTGGCACAGGAAATACTCTGGGACCTGTGCAAGGGCTTCTGCCCCAGGGGCAGCCCCCATCTTTGGGGCCCTGGGCCTTGACCCTTTTCCCTGACTCTCCCCTTTCACCTGCCAACCAACCACTGCCCCCCAACTCGTGGCCCAAGCCAGACCCATCCTGGGCAGTGGCTTCCATCTGGCACGTGGTCCTTCCCACTGGAAGTAGAAGCTTGGATTGTACCCTGAACCCAGTTTACCCCTGCCCCATTTTCTTCCCTGAGCCCTGGTAGGCTAAGAGCCTGGGTCTCAGGACACAGGCACAGAGCTAAAAGCAGGACTTGCAGATATGTGCTGGGGTTAGGGTTGAGAAGTGTGTTCAAGGATGCTGAAAAGAAAGCTGTCCCCAAGGAAGGCCAAGTCCGACGCTCCAAGTCCTACCCTGGCAGTCTGTGACAAGTCCTGCGGAATCTATGGGAACCTTGTGAATGCCCAGCACCCAGTCCTAATTTACATACCCTTTTAAATCCCAACCAGTGCTCTGGAGTCCCTGTGCCCCAAGTTCCCCATCTGGACTAGAATAGACGGGACATTTTTAGTTTAGTCTGTTGGAGGAATGGAGGAAAGCAGGTGGAAGAACATTACCTTTCCTTGGCGGGGGGGTGGGACGGGGTGGGGAGAGGTGGGGGGGAGCAGGTTTTTTGGTCCATCTCAAGTCTCAGATGCACACCTCAGAGGGGGAAGTGAGGCTGCGAGGGGACTGACTGAGAGAGACAAGCTGAGTCTGGCTGGTGTAGTCCTGATCCTGTGTAGCTGTCACATAAAATGTTTTCTTCTGGCCTGCAGCCTGTGTCCTTTTATGCCAAAGTAAGTTGTTTCACCCCTGCCCTGGGCGATTCACCCTCCCCGTTGTGGGAGGGCAGGAGTTGGGGCAACCAGGTATCAGTGGCTCACCCCACACACACCCTGCTAGAAGAAGGAATGTTCTGTTTCCCTGAATCCCCTACTCCCAGAAAGGGAGCAGGGTGTGGTCCCTTGTCACAAGAAAGAACCAGCTGGACCCTAAGCGACACGGTAGGTCAGTGGGAAGGAGGTAGAGGGGCTGACTAGAAAGTAACGCCAAGGGGAGTCCCGCAAGCGGTTGGGCGAGTCGGGCTCAGTTCAATCAAACGCCCATCTCCTCGCCCTCGCAGGGCCCTCGGCCCTCCGACCCCACCCCGGGTCTGCAGTGGCCCGTGCCTTCCCGCCCCGCCCGAGACCACAGCGTCGCAGACAAGACAGCGCAGGACCCCAGGCAGACAGGCGCCGGCGCAGGCCCACTTTATTGGCAGGGTCAGCCGCACTGGGCGGGCCGTCATGCTCGCGCCGGCGGGGCGTTCGGCTCGGCTCGGCTCGGCTCGGCTCGGCTCGGCAAGCACGCCGCGGGCCGCCGCTGGGCTCCCCTCCCCGGGCGGGGCTCAGAGCTCCGGGGGCCCGAGGCCCGGCGGGCCGGCGGGGGCGAGGTCGGGGTACACCAGGAAGCCGGAGAAGGTGATGTACTTGCCGTGGTTGCTGTAGGCGCCATAGCCGTCGTGGTCGTGGCTGAGCAGCCAGACGGCGTCGCCGCGCCGCAGCGCCAGCATCACGCTCTGGCTCTGCATCTCGCGGCGCCGCGACGCGCCGTCGTCGTAAATCATGGCCTGCACCTCGTCGCGGTTCTTCATCAGCTTCACGGACAGCGTCTTGCGCGGCAGCTTGCCCAGCGTGAAGGAGAAGAAGTAGGCGCCCGGCAGGCGGCAGCGGAACACGCCGGCCGCCGCGTCGAAGTCGCCGCCGATGTTGACGAGCTCCGTGTCGAAGGCGAGCGGCCGGTGCCGCGGCCCCGGGCCCGCGTCCGAGCCCACCAGGCTGCGCGTGCGCGCCGCCGAGAAGGCCGAGCGCGGCTCGGGGGGCGCGGGCGGGCCGCGCGCAGGCGCGTCGGCGTCGGCGTACACCAGGTAGCCGCTGAAGGTGGCGCCCGGGGCGCCGAGCGCGTACTGCGGGGCGCCGTGCAGCCGCAGCCACACCGTGTCGCCGTAGTCGAGCTGCAGCATGGCGCTCTGGCTGGCGGCGCGCCGCGCGCCGGGCCGCCGCTGCTCGTCGAAGGCCAGCGCCTGCACCTCGTCGCGGTTGCGCACCAGCATCACCGACAGGCTCTTGTGCGGGGCCTTGCCGGCCGTGAAGGAGAAGAAGTAGGCGCCGGGCACGCGGCAGCGGAACTGGCCTGTGGCCGCGTCGAAGTCGCCGCCGATGTTCACGTACACCTTGTCGAAGGTCACCGCCATCTCCGATGTGCCCTCCAGGGCGGTGGTGCGTGCGGCCGAGAAGGCCGAGCGCAGCTCCGTCGAGCCCAGCTCCGTCGAGCCCGGCCCCGGCCCCAGGGCCCGGCAGGCGGCAGGGCCCAGCAGGCCCAGCAGGAGCAGCAGCATGGCGCCTGGGAGGGGAGGCAGAAGGGGAAGGAGAGGGGGCTTGTGCCGGGGGCGGCCCCCAGATGCCCCGCGTTCCGAGTTCCGAGACTGGGAGACGCGTTACTTGCACAGCCCTGCCCCTGCCCCACAACTAGGACTCGGGTTCCTACACACTTGGACTAGGTCAGCGGGTCTCAAGCTTCAGCGGGCCTCGGTGCCATATAGAGGGCTTGCTGGAACACACGTTGTTGGGCCCCCGCCCCCAGAGTGTCCATTCATTTGGTTTAGGATGAGGCTTGAGAATTTGCATTTCCAACAAATTTCAGGTAATGCAGATGCTGCTGGTCCAGGGACCACACTTTGGGAACCAGAAGATTAGGCCAGCGAGTCTCCTTTTTTTGTAAGAAACGAACCCCCTTCTCAAGTGAAAGCTCACACACCTGTACCACAGATAGAAGCAGAAATGCTTTGGCCGAAGGGGCCTATGTAGCCTGTCAGCTGGGCTTGCCCCTCCCCACCTTGGCACCACAGAGGGTGGTCAGGGCGCCTGAGTTTCTTTCAGCCTGGTTTGCTGAATTGCCCTGTGGCTATTCTATGGACCTTGGCCTGCCCCTCACTCAGGCACTAGCTCTCTGTACCGATGGCCACTGTTCCAGCCCCCATATGGACAGGAAAGGAAATAGCTGCTCATTGACCCCTTTCCTGGCCTTTGACCCACAAGGGTCAGCCGCCACTCTGGACCTCTGCACCCCCCAGGAGCCCTTCTTGCAATAAAGAGGCCCGAGCAGTTGGGCCTTGACATAGCTCCCTCCCCGTGAAATCACAGTAAGAGACAGTGACTCTTTCCTCTGGGCTTGAGGGCTGGTCACTGAGCAGAAGGAGAGAACTAGGGGCTCCTGTGAATAGAGAAGGAGAGCAACATTTGCAGCAAGGCTCTGGCAAGACTGTGAGGTCAGCAGCTTTGTTCCTCAGTAGTGGTGGAGTGAAAGACTGGCAGCTTGACCTGGGCTCATTTCCTGGCTCTACCACTTAAATGCTGTGAAACCTTAGGCAAATTCCTTAACTTCTCTGGGCATGGCTTCTTTTCTGTAAATGGGGAGACCTGCCCCCGTCTTACTGTAAGGATGCTCTGAGATAGCAGGTGCAAACACCATTTGTGAACGGTAGTGTTGCCCAGGTGTGCAGATGCTTCTCTTCTTGGCCTTGAGAAAAGTGATCTGATAGAGTTCTTGACATAAGCAGTTAGGGACTCAGTAACTCTTACCCCTGGGAGCTTGGGAAGGCAATGCCTAACTCCATCATGCTTCTTAGTAGGGCATAGGCTTTGGGGCTTGAATACCCAAAGGCCCTGAAGTGGAGACAAAGTAGGAAAGAAAATGAGCTGGCAACAGCCTGGATATGGGCTCTGGGAAGGACCCTGGGAGTGTGTGTAGCTCTGTGTCTCTTAGAGACACTGGGGGCTTGCTGAGAAGGGCTGCCAGGGGCAGATGCACCCTACACAAGGACATTCACCTTAGGGTAGGTGGGCACTGGAATCCAGCTCACGTTCTACTTGCCCTACAGTGTGGACCTGCTGCACCCGGGGAAAGTGTGCCTTTTTCTAATTTTCATAATAAAGACCCCAAGTCCCTAACCCAGCTAAACCTTCTCTCCCTCCGGAGGAGGGACCTTTTGTAATTCCTACAAAGGCACCCCAAGGGCTAGCCGATACCCTTGATGAGGGCAGGAAGGAGGGGACCCATCTACAGTGATGAAGATTGCACCTCCTGAGTATTCCCTTTCATTAAGCTCTTTGGGCACATCTGGTCTCCCAGCAAACCTTTGAGACAGGTGGGCCCTCTCCCACTTTATAGATGAGAAAGTCAGGGCCCAAACAGGGGAAGCATTTTGGCCCAAGGTAATCACGCACACTGAGGCAACCTTGAACCAAGGTCTTTTGACTCCAGATTCAGTACACCTTCCTCTCCCCCATCTTTTCCTCATAGACACAGATATTTCCAGCCAACCTGTCCTTAGCCTCAGTTTTCCTTTTTTGCAAAAATAGGAGGGGAGATAAGTGGAATGAATCTTGGGATCCAGGGTGAAAGAGAAAGAAAGCAAAAAGCAAATAAAACCAATGAAACAAGCAAGAACTCTAGCGTTTTGCCTTCTGGGAGTATGGGAACATCTCAACTCTTTCTGACCCTGCTCTTCTCCCTAGCAGGTCCTGCCCCAGGAGCACCTGCCCACCCTACCTTCAGCAATCTCCCTGCAGAGTCTGGTGCACCCCACGAGGGCCAGAGGGTCCTCCCGTGTGTTCAGTACCCAGCCTCTGCCCATTTCTCACCCAGCACTGCCATTTCCCAGATCCCTAGGTCCCCATCCTTCTTTAAACCCCCTTCCCTGGTCAGGTCAGAGGTGGGAGGGTGTCAGGTGGGCCTCATAGCTCCGGGAAAGGAAATGGCTGTTCCTAGCTCTGTCCAGGTGGGGCTCAAAATAGTCATCTTCAAAGAGACAAAACTGGGACACGGAGACCTGGGCAGACCCAGAGCCCCGGAACCGACGGGGGAGGTGCCGCGATGTCAGGTGAAGGCGATCTCAGAGCCCCGCTCCCCGCCAAACCCCACTCCCCAGTTACCCCCTCCTTCAAGCCTCGCCAGAACCTCCTCCCACCCTGAAAGCCCCTCATGTTCCCAAGGAGACAAGTCCCCGTTTTACAGAAGCCAATTAACCCTTCCTCCTGAAAAAAGAAATCCCTCAGGAGGGGATACCCTAGAGCTCCCCCACCCCCCGCCCCTTTGCCAACCTTCCTTCATCCATCCCTTCCGAGTGAAAGCCCTTGAGCCTCTTTCATGAAAAAGCTCTCAGGTCCTCCTTTCAGCGAACAAGGAGCCGGATTCCCCCGCGCCTTCGCCCGCCCCCGCTTGCACACGGGAGAAAGCTTGGCTCCCCGGCCCTGAGCTGCCCTCACCTGGCTGGGGGCGGCGGGCGGGTCGGGTCCGCTCCGAGCCCGCGATCCGGCTCCGGGCTCCGGGCTCTCGGCTCCGGACGGGCGCCGGGGCTGCGCACTGACCGCCCGCGCTGCGGCGGGGCCCGGCCTGGCGGGGGCGGCGGCGGCGGCGGCGGCGGCGGCGGCGGCGGCGGGGCGCTGGGACCCTGGGACCCCGGGGCGGGCGCGGGGCAGCGAGGCGCCAGGGAACGAGGACAGCTGAAGAGCGAGGCGAGCTGACCGGCTCGAGGAGCGGCAGGGGAGCGGCGGGAAGGGGGAGAGGGGAGGAGAAGGGAGAGGGAGGGGCGCGCCGAGGAAGTGGAGCCGCGCAGGGCCTAGGGGCACCGCACCGAGGAGGCCCCTGCGCAGGCTGCGCCCAGCCCTGGGCTCTTCCTCATCCGTGACCTCCCTGGAGCTTCATCCTCTGGCTCCACAGAACACGCATCATCAACCCAAGTTAGCAGACGGGGCAACTGAGGCCGGAGGCAGAGGACAAACTGGGGGTGGCCCAGGGCACTCTCCAGACCGGCCTCCTCCCCGGTTTGAGGAGAGGGGGCTGCCGCAGAACGCCCCGCACAAGCCCCTGGGCGGCAAGGACAGTGGAAGGTGAGATTTCGTCTGGGACAGATGTCCAGGCTGAGTGGCAATGGGGGAGGGGGTCTGAGGGAAGAGAAGGATAAATGGGTCAATGTCAACAGTAAAGAAAGAGCTTGAAGTGACCTAGTTTTTCTTCCTTGCTTCCGAATCAGAAAATGCCCACAGCTGGTTAGGAAGGAAGGAGGGAGACCAAGCCCCCAGACCTGGGAGGGTCAGCCTTGGTCCCCTGGGGAGGGGATGCAAAGGAAGGGCATCCTTGGGGCAGAATTGAGTTTTGGCTGAGTAGACTGCTTCCCTGGTGCCCACACGAAGGAAGAAGGTTGAGAGAGGCACTGGGAGGGCTCGGCGGGCCTGTTGGGGAGGGACACGGACACCCTGCGTAGCTGGGGCTAGGGTAGCAGGATCCAGCTGGACATCAGGGCTGGGAACAGCGTCTTCCCGCCTCGGCACTCATCAGGGCCCCCCATGGCCTCCACTCTGGGTTTTGACCCCTGCAGCCATCTCGGACTCCCTTCATCAGGGCTGCTGTTGTCTCCCAACAGCTGTGGGGGTCTCTCCTGCCTGGCAGCGGGGTGTCTCCCCCCTGCCTGGCACTCAGTAGGTGTTGACTGAGCGGATGGCTCTAGAAGGGCCCTACTCTCGGCTACCAGGAGCTGGTGCCCTCCATCAGCCCCTGCTTGATGCCGAAGGCCTCCACTCTGGTCCCGGCTCTGCCACAGACCAGATGTGGGTGGACACAGAGAAGCCTGGTGCCCTGGGAAGCCCTCTGCCCTCTGGAGCTTTCCTTTTGGAACTCTCAAAACTTAAGTGACCCCAGTTAGTCTGATGCAGGTTAGTCCTCATGAAGGCGTTGATAATGATGATGGACTCATTAAATTTTCTTCAGGGTGTTAGGTGAAGGATGAGGAATATGTGCCTCAATGGAAGGAAATGAATGGAGGCATTTCAGGCTGGGCACTGGGGGTATTTGGGGCCTAGGGCGAAGTACTTGTCTAGCCCCAGTTAGATCATGACTGTCTCCTTCACCAGTTTCAAAAGCTTGGGTCATGGGCCTATGGGAAGGCATGAAGCAGGGTGAGGGTGGGTTGAGTCATGCAGGGATGTGGCCAGAGGGCTGAGGAAGACAGAATGCTAACCTGTGTCAGCCACAACCCCCCCCCCTTTTTTTTTAAGATTTTATTTATTTATTTGACAGAGAGAGACAGCGAGAGAGGGAACACAAGCAGGGGGAGTGGGAGAGGGAGAAGCAGGCTTCCCGCGGAGCAGGGAGCCCAATGTGGGGCTTGATCCCAGGACCCTGGGATCATGACCTGAGCCGAAGGCAGACGCTTAACGACTGAGTCACCCAGGCGCCCTGGGGTTAACTTTTAAATAAACTACTCGCACCCAAATCTTTGTCTCAAAGTGTGCTTTTGGGGGAACCCAAACTAAGACAATGGACAATAACTGTGTCCTAAACCATGGTAAGTGCTTTTTCACATCCATTACCTTATTTAATTTTCTTAACATCCCCTGAAGTAGATACCATTAACCCAATTTTACAAACGAGGAATGAAGAGGTTATATGCAGGGAGAGGCAGGATTCAAACCCAGGTGTGTTTAGCTCTGAAGCCTGATCCTTAACCATGTTCAGCAGCCTCCCTAATTCTCTGATCCTCTCTGGATCTTATATTTTCATCTGTAAAACAAGGGATGTGCTCTTGAGTTTGAAGGGAAACAATGTACCCAGTTTCTCCTGCTGCTGGGCATGGTCAATGAGATGTGAACAGAAGCTATTGGGAGAGAAAGTGCTTGAAAGGAACCGACTCAGCTCGGAGGCCCTCTCTTTAGCCCTCCCTTTTCTCTTCCCTCTTCCTGGAATATATGCATGAAGGCTGGAGCCCCAGTTGCCATCTTGGGCCAGTAAACACCAATGAAGGGTTTTAAGGCACAGTCTTAGGTATGTGCTCAGGAAGATGCTGAGATGAAAAAGACCTAGAGACTCTGCCCTCAAGGAGCTAATCATTTAGTGGAAGTGGCTGGATGTGAATAGAAGCATAATAGGTGGAAAGAGATCAGCCTCAGGAGCTGAGCTGGTAACTGCTATGAGAGCTCAGGGAGGGAGGAATTCCAACAGGAGTGGGGGGGGGGAGGGTGTAGGGAAGATGTCACAGAGGGGGCTTTTTTTTTTTTTAATTTAGCTCTTTAAATTTTTTTTTTTTTTTTGAGTAAACCCTACACTCAACGTGGGGCTTGAACTCACAACCCTGAGATCAAGAGACTTGATGCTTTACCAACTGAATTAGACAGGTACCCCACAGAGAAGGCTATTTTTAAATAACGGCAAGGATTTGACAGTGAGATGGAAGAGTAGGGGGTGGGATCCCATCAAAGGTAATAATACGAGCAAAGGTGTCAGGGCTTGGGGAGGAGACCTTCCATGACTCAACTCCGGAGGGAAGGGTTTGTGATTGAAGTTATGGCAGGTAAGGTGCATGCGCTTTAATGCCCAGCTAAGGAGCTCAGATTATCCTGCAGCAGAGGGGACAGAACTCAGAGCTGTATTTTAAAGATTACTCTAGCTGAAAGACAGGAGACGGAAGAAGAGCCATGCAAGAAGACAAAGTGTGCCGATGAATCTAAACTATGCAGGGCTAGCCAGAAAGGAAAAGCGAGGAAGGGGGCGCCTGGGTGGCTCAGTTGGTTAAGCAACTGCCTTCGGCTCAGGTCATGATCCTGGAGTCCGGGGATCGAGTCCCACATCAGGCTCCCTGCTCAGCGGGGAGTCTGCTTCTCCCTCTGACCCTCCCCCCCTCATGCTTTATCTCATTCTCTCTCTCAAATAAATAAATAAAATCTTTAAAAAAAAAAAAAAAAAAGCAAGGAAGGAGACTGACGGGAGAGAGACTGTCAAAGATTGACAGAGCACCCCCACAAGCTCACAATTTAATTAGCTTCCTGGCTTGCCAGTGGATTACAGGGGAATTAGCAGAGCTCAGAGTCTAGGGACCTTGCTGGGAGTTGAGGGGAGGTTAATGAGAAAGACAACAACATGCCCCAGGGAGAAATGAAAAGAAGAGGAATTGTTAGCCCAGCAGAGATTCGGGCAGGAGAAACAGATGTCAGGGCATGTGGAGTCTCTGCCTTCCTCAGAGATTTCAGCCTTCGGGGGGAACAGACATTTAGAGCTCCTGGGTGGGGGGGTTCTAGCCCCATCCCCCAGGGTTCCAGTTCCTCTCAGTGACCCCAGACTGGGAAAGCTGGGGCGCCTGTAAGGATCAGGTTCCCAACTCTGCCTTGGCCTTTTCCCAGAGGGGGACTGAGCCCCCAGCCCCCTTCTGCACACGTGGAGGTTGAGGCCTGGGATGGGGAGGTGACCTGCTCTTAGCAGTTGTGGCCAACGGCATTTTCCAAAGACAGCTACGGCAGTATCTCCCATCCCCCATGCTCTTTTTATACCTTGACCTTGCCACTTCCCTCTTAAGAGGAGGACTTGGGTTGGGTCATAAAGGGAGATACCGCTTCTGCCTGGCGCTCACTCTCTTGAAACTCTTGGTGTGAGAAAGCCCAGGCCACATGGAAAGGCCATATGTGAAGATGTGGTGGCCAACAGCCCTGGTCGGGACCAGCTACCAGATTTGCAAGGTCTGGCACAAGATGAAAATGCTGGGCCTTTTGTTCAAAAATTAAGGATTTAAATGGTGACCATAGAGCATTCAACCGGGCATTGAGCCCTTTGAAGGGCGGGGCTTGTGCAGCTGCAAAAGTTGCATCCCGTGAAGCTGGCCCTGACCCATGAGTTACTGAACAAAGCGACACCGACAGAAGTTGTGAAGGCTGCCCCAGACCTTGACAGGTAGCAAGAGATGGGAAAGGCATCCTGGGAGAAAGGACAGGGAGCAGGGGCATCCGCCTCGGAGGTAATACACTCCCGGTAAAGTGCAGTGACTAGCATCACACTGCTTGGGTTTGAATCCCAGCTCCACCTCAGTTTCCCCACCTGTGAAATGGGGACAAGAAAAGTTATCTCTGGGGGCACCTGGGTGGCTCAGTCGTTAAGCGTCTGCCTTCGGCTCAGGGCATGATCCCAGGGTCCTGGGATCGAGCCCCGCATGGGGCTCCCTGCTCTGCGGGAAGCCTGCTTCTCCCTCTCCCACTCCCCCTGCTTGTGTTCCCTCTCTCGCTGTCTCTCTCTGTCAAATAAATAAATAAAATCTTAAAAAATAAAAACTAAAAAAAAGTTATCTCTGCCTTGCTGGCTTGTCGACAGCATTGATACTCAATGTAAAGTATTCAGCACAGAGCCTGGCATACGGTAAGCACTCAGTATGTGCTATTACTACTACCGCTTGGTGTGTTTGAAAAATGAATAATCTTGGTGTGGCGGAAGTGTAAAATCCAGGGATGCTGCTGGGAAACAGGTCCAGAAAATGGGTTTTGAATTTGATCGTGAAAGATTTTTTTTTTTTTAAGATTTTATTTATTTATTTATTTGAGACAGAGAGAGAGACAGAGAGCATGAGAGGGAGGAGGGTCAGAGGGAGAAGCAGACTCCCTGCCGAGCAGGGAGCCCGATGCGGGACTTGATCCCGGGACTCCAGGATCATGACCTGAGCCGAAGGCAGTCGCTTAACCAACTGAGCCACCCAGGCGCCCAAGATTTTTTTTTTTAAAGATTTTATTTATTTATTTATTTATTAGAGACCAAGTGAGAGAGAAACAGCATGAGAGGAGAGGGTCAGAGGGAGAAGCAGACTCCCTGCTCAGCAGGGAGCCCGATGCGGGACTCGATCCAGGGACTCGATCCAGGGACTCCAGGATCATGACCTGAGCCGAAGGCAGTTGCTTAACCAACTGAGCCACCCAGGCGCCCTTGATCGTGAAAGATTTTAAGTGCCAGGATAAGCTGTCTAGACTTTATTCTCCTAGCCCGTGGGTCTCAATCCTGTCTGACCTAATTTCTTTTATTGCAAGTATTTTGGAATGTCTCCTTTCCTACACTGAAATGAAACTCATAGAGAATGAAGTCTACTGACACATATTTTCAAAAAATCAATATAATGCTCCAAGTGTGATATAAAGAAGAAAAAAAAGGAAAGTAATTTTATTAAAATAATCTGTTTTTCAATATGTAAATACTTGCACATTGCCACACTAGAATAAATAACCAAATATAGATGGATGTTTATACTTCTAGAAGTATAGAATCTTCTATAGAATCACAAGTGCAAGAACCACAAACACATGCTGATACAAGGGTGTGCTGTCCAGTGTGCACTAAAACCGTGCAAAGAAGCTTGTTTTGTATGGAAAAACAGGTTTTGTTTTTTTACCTACATTAATGTTGTAAGGAATGAGAGCTCACGTTTCGCTTAACTGTCCTAAACATCATAGGACATCTACTATCCCTGGCCACTGCCGACTAGATGCCAATAGTGTCTCCCAATCATTGTGACAACCCAAAATGCTCTCCCACTTTTCCCAAGTACCCTCAGCTCCTGCTTTGGGCAATGTGGGATTAGAAAGGGTCATGCCCTCTGCCAGGCTATCTGTAATATGGTGGGAGAAGATGATACGTGGAGCTACTGCCACCATCTTGCAACCATGTGGGGAAAAGCATGAGGACAAAAGCTAATATACTGGGGATGACGGAATGGACAAATGTCAAGGATCATGGTCCTCGGTATCACTGAGGCATTGAGTTAACACATTCTGGATTTACCCTCCTATGGACCTCTCATTATGGGAGATGATAAATCCCCTTCTTGGTTGAACCATTTTGAGGTGAATCCTCTGTTTCTTGCAGCTAAAAGCATTCTAACTTTTACAGGATATTTTCCCCTCTCTTGGTTTTCTTCAACTGTATATTGAGAGGATTTCACAGACTAGGGCCTATGAGTCTATGAACGGAAAATAAGAGGGCTTGGTGACTAGAATGAGGGGGTTGGGAAGAAGCTGGAAGAGTCCACCCCTTGCATGGGTATCTGGGAGGATGGCAAAAAAGGAGTGGATTCTGGGTAAGATAATCATTGGTTTCACTTAGGGCATTGAGATCACATCACACTAGATTTGGGGGATGGAAAATTAGGCTTACATAGTATCATATCAGTTGGGTAAAAAAATACAATTACATAGGAAAAGACTGGATGAATAAACACCAAAATATTTAGTTATTTTTGGTAGGTTCAGGGATGATATTTTCTGTGTAGAATTTTTTCTATTTCCCAAACTTTTTCTAACAAACTTATTGCTTTCATTTGAAATGTAATCTAAAATATCAATACACTATAATTTCTTTCATATGTATCAAAAGAAGTAGATCAGTGGCATGGAATGTAAAATCCAGTATTAGATCCAAATACATACTGGAATTAGAATACTACAAAAGTGGGATTTTAAGTTTATTTATTTATTTATTTTAGTAATCTCGACACCCAACATGGGGCTCAAACCCATAACCCCAAGAGTCAGAAGCTCCACCTACTGACCCAGCCAGGCGCCCCTAAAAGTGGGATTTTAAATCAGAGAAGAAAAGAGACATGATTCAATAAATTGTATGGAAACAATGTGTAGCCATTTGGAAAAATAGTAAGTTGGATCCATACATCATGTCTTATACCAAAACAAATAACAAGTGGATTGCATATTTAAATGTAAAAATTAAATCAAAAAAGTACTGAAAGAAATCAAGTGATAATTTTTTAAAAATTTCAGAGTGAAGAACTTTGAAGTATGACATAAAATCCAGAAGTCATAAAAAAAAATTGATGGATACATTTCCTACAGCTTAAGAGAGAAACATATTTACACAGCAAAACTGCCAGAAACAAAATCAAAAGAGGGGCACCTGGGTGGCTCAGTTCATCCAACACTTGATCTCAGCTCAGGTCTTGATTTCAGGGTTGAGTTCAAGCCCCACGATGGGCTCCACACTTGGTGTGAAGCGTACTTAAAAAAAAAAAAAAATCAAAAGACAAACTACAAAATGGAAAACATATTTGTAATTCATATCACAAAGAGCAAATTTCTTTAATATATAAAGAGTTCTGAGAAAAAAACAACTCAGTAAAAAATGAGTACAAGATATAAACAGTTAATAAAAAAGAAAATACAAATAACTATTAGAATAAGAAAATCATAATGTGATGCCATCATTTTTTTACCTCTCAAGTTGTCAAAGAGCACTAAGGTTTATAACACACTCTATTGGTGACAAGGCTGAAAAACACATTCATACATTGCTAGTGGGACAGTCAACTGGAACAACTGGGTAATTGGACAATACCTACCAAATTTAAAAACGTACATGCCCTTTGACTCAGTGATTCCACTTCTTGAAAAGCTGCTTCTCAGATACATGCCCATATGTTTGAAATGACATGCTATTCACTGTAGCATTGTTTGTAATAGCAGAATATTGGAAATAATCTACATGTCCAGCAACAGAGGACCTATCGAATAAATTCTGATATATATATATATATATATACACACACATATATATACATATATCTGAGGTATATATATTAAACTGTATATATATATACACACACACATACAATAAAATACTATATACCCTTTATAAGAGAATGAGGAATTATTTCATATAAGGGACATAAAATAATCTCTAAGATTTACTGTTAAGTAAAAAAAAAAACAAGGTGTACAGTATGCTACCATTTACATTAAAAAGTACCCATTTGCTTTTAT